CCTAAACCCAAAAACCCTAAACCCACAAACCCTAAAGCCCTAAAACCCTAAAGCCCTATAAACCCCAAACCCTAAACCCAAAATCCCTAAACCCATAAACCCTAAAGCCCTAAAGCCCTAAAGCCCTAAAGCCCTATAAACCCCAAACCCTAAACCCAAAATCCCTAAACCCATAAACCCTAAAGCCCTAAAGCCCTAAAACCCTAAAGCCCTATAAACACCAAACCCTAAACCCGAAAACCCTAAACCCATAAACCCTAAAGCCCTAAAGCCCTAAAGCCCTATAAACCCCAAACCCTAAACCCAAAAACCCTAAACCCATAAACCCTAAAGCCCTAAAGCCCTAAACCCCTATAAAGCCGCGAGCTTCCATGGTGCCAGGCCGAGGGCAGCCCCAAGTTCTGCGGCAGCTTTGGGAGCGACGTCGACGGCTTAGAAAGAGCAAAGAGCTAAGAGGGTTTAGGGTCTAGGGTCTAGGGTTTAGGGTTTAGGGTTGTTATAGGACAGGGCAAAGAGCTTGGAGGGTTTAGGGTTTAGGGTTGTTTAGGACTGGGCAAAGAGCTTAGAGGGTTTAGGGTTAGGGTTGTTTAGGAAAAAGTACAGAGCTTAAAGGCTTTCGGGTTCAGGGTTGTTTAGGACGTGGCAAAGAGCTTGGAGAGTTTAGGGTTTAGGATTGTTCAGGAAAGAGCAAAGAGCTTAGAGGATTTAGGGTCCAGGGTTGTCTAGGAAGAGCAAAGAGCTTAGAGGGCTTAGAGTTTGGGGTTGTTTAGGAATAATCAAAGACCTTATAGGGTTTAGGGTTTAGGTTTTTTAGGCAGGAAAGCAGACAACCATACCATACTACCATACAGCTGATACATCTACAGTGCATTGCACTGTATGTATTGTGTGTATACATGCACGTAATAGTGTATGCATGCATGCATGCATACATATGTGCATGTATGTGTGTGTGTATATATATGTATACACATGCATATACAGACGTGCATGTGCGTACGTGCCTGGGTAGGTGGGGTAGGTAGGTAGGTAGGTAGGTAGGTAGGTAGGTAGGTAGGTAGGTAGGTAGGTAGGTAGGTAGGTAGATGTATGTAAGTCAGTAAGTAAGTAAGTAAGTAAGTAAACGATTATGTATGTACGTGTGTAGGTGAATAATTACATGTCCCTCTTACGAACACAAACAAAGTCACTCTCTGCTCGTGCCGCACGCTCTTCCTCGGTCTCGTTGGCAACCTGCGCCGTCAACTCTGTTTCAAGTACTGTACTGTGCAGTACCGACCTATACTACAAGCGTTCTGTCTTTCGGGTTTGCAGCTCGGGGGGCCCTAGTACCCTGCACCAAAGGCTCCAAGTTTCAACAGCTCTTTGCTGCGTCGCCTGCAAATGCCGAAACCCACAACCTCAAACCTTAAAGCCCTAAACCCTGAAGCGGAAACCCATAATGAACCAAAAACCCAGAAGTCCCCAGTGCTTCTACACCTTAGGCCCTAAACCCTAAACCCGAAGCCCCAAACCCTTCACCGACCTCACCTTGGCCAGCTCCCGGACGCTCCAGATTCTTCTGCTACGCTTGGCATCCTGTGCCTCACTGGGATCACTGGGATGGATCTCCTGGGACAGAGGCGGTTTAGGGTTTTGGGTTTAGGGGCTTAGGGTTAAGGGTTTAGGCTTTCGGGCTTAGGAATTAGGGGTCCCAGCACTGCATCTGGGGCGTTGCGGGCCGGGTATTATGGTGTTTGACACGGACTTTACATGGTGGTATTAGACAAGCTTTAAATTCGGTATGCTGCTATTTCGATGTCGTAGGGCTCGAGCATCTGCCTATGTGTAGCAGGAAGAATATAGAAGCCTGATTAATTAGCAATATTACTCTGCAGATCTCAAATTATGGCTTTGTGATAAATTAACAACATTAATTAATCATCTCGCCAAACCCGATTCTGGTTGTCAAGGACCTGGATTACAGTCTCGAATTCAGGTATGCACTGGTTGTGTTGGACATCAGCACGTAACCTTGGCACTGATGGTTCCTGTTTTACGTCATGCCTCCCATCACTCTAAATACATCTGCTTCTTTCTATGAACCTGATCAGATTCGAAGCGGTTCCACCTAATCAGGAGAACGTCCTTTTGCGACTTCCCACTGCTCTGCAGCAAGAATCATTAAGGCCAGGGTCGAGCCTCGCGAACATGCTTCAAGATCTCAGAATGTCCCTTGATCATAACAGTGTTCCGACATTTCTGGAACAAGGGCGTCAAGGTATCCTGGCAAGAGACTTCCCCGACTCGCCAGTGTACAGATTGCGGGCTGAGCATTCCGGGACCACTAAGACCAACAAAAACCCACATGTATGGGGCCTGTTCTTCGGGTGACTCCCAGTATCTGTTGCAGGGCACCTCAATGCCCCACCCTTCGCCCAGTGCAGGCAAAGCTCATCGTAGAGGACCTTGAAGTCCAGTTTTCCAGAAGGGTCCATCTCAGCAACTAGATCCTTGACACCAGGCACAAGTAAAAAGCCTCGCGAATCTCAGAAGTTGCTTCTTCTCTTCAAGCACCTTGGCCTCGGGGCTCAAAGTTGAAGCACTCTTTTCTCTTGCAGTTTCCCGACCTGGAATCATCAAACGACTGCAGCGCTCAATACCGCAAGCCGACTATTACAACACACATGAGGGACACCACTGCTCACATAAACCCCTGAACGCGAAAGGCCTTGCAGCCCTACAGATCCTAACACCCAAAACCTTTGACCCCCAAACCCGAAAAAAGACACGATAACGGCCACGGATCTGTGTTTGGATGCAGGAGCATCAGGAGACCTTGGCGGCCCATGCGAGCTAAAATCACACTTTGCTCGCTACGGCGCCTGCTAGAAGAATCGTTGCTGTCACCCTGTGTACGTACCCAAGTACGTAGGCATGCGTTTGCATAGATATGCGTGTACACACACATGTGTGTGTGTGTGTGTGTATATATATATATATGTGTGTATTTGGTTTGTGTATATATGTCTGTATAACAAAGTGAATAATTAGATACTGCATTTATGTGTATGTGTATATAGACACATATACATATACATATACGTATACATATACATATACATATACCTATACATATACATATACATATACATATGCATATGCAGATGCATATACTTGGCATATACATGCATACATGCATTCATCCATCCAGCCATCCATCCATCCATATCCATGCATCCATACATACATACATACATACATACATACATACATACATACATACATGCATGCATATATACATACATGTGTTGTGTGGATATGTAGCGGCATATTAACATAAGCTGAAGCTGCATCTTCTTCCGTTCTCTAATGGTGAGGATGTACCGTGTTAACATAACATCTGAATTTCGAAGACTCATGTTCCCAAGAAGGCCGCTGTAGGTCAGGAAGTGCGTGTCCCATGTTTCAAGGCCGTTGTCGAAAGTCCGCCCTAAGACACCTCGTAGGTTGAGGCCCGGAGGAACCAACAGAGGTCAGAGCTACCGGCTCCTGGAGTTGCAGTCTTTATAGTTTACAGGTTTAGGGCTTAGGATTCTAAGTTCAGGGCCAGACTTTCGAACCCTGAGTCTGGGGCGTATTGCCCCGAGGCCCTGAACCCTGAACCATAAGCCCTAAACCTAAACCCCTAAACTCTAAATCCATCCCAGTAGCAGTCATTCATCTCCTGTTGAAAATGCTCCAGCGGCAGGTCATTTGCATCTAATCCGAAAGGGTTCTCCAGCTCCATAGAGATGAAATTCCTTCCATAAGGTTGCAAGGGCTACTGTACAAGGGGGCACTACAGGGGTTGCGACTCAGAGTTACCATACGGATCCAAACAAGAGTTGCTACAAGGGCATTTGGAGATGAACTTCCTTCGCGGAGTAGGGGCTTCTTGGGGTGTAAGCTTCAGGGCTTCAGGGTTGTAGGGGACATAGGGTTCCGGATTTAGGCAATGAGACTTGTTCAACAAGTCCAGGTTTACAGTGCTGCTCTCTTCCAAGCTCCAAGCCGTGATGCTTACAGCAAACATTACAGAAACAGAACAAAGAACTCTCACAAACACCCCAAAAACCTAAACCCTCAAACTCCTTGCCAGATGTTTTTGGTTCTTCCTGCAACCCTTGAACACCTAAACCGCTCAACCTAAACCCCTGAAGCCGAAACTCCACAAGACTTCAGCTAGACTTTAAAGTCACAATCATAAACATAACAGTCATAATCATAATAACTAATCATAACCATAACGAAAAGAAGACTTAGAATAAGAGGAACAACCCTTAAACCCCACAGCCCTTACCCCGCTGAAGCTTTAGAAGGGCATAGCTGCACGAGTATTAGATGCCATTATGCTACATATATATATATATACTGTTATTTGTTTGTTTTTGTATATATATATATATATGTCTTATATCTGTACACATATACATACATACACATATAATATGTATATATATATATATACTCGACTTGGCTATACTAGTTAAGGGTATGTTCCGGTATGAAGCGCTGCAAACAGAAAAAAGTTGCTGCCATCATCGCCAAGCATCAATGAGAACATTCCGAAGACAGCCAGAAATGTGAACACCGGCGCTAGGAATCTGTGTGGGACTGAAGCAGAAATCAATGCTGGCGTGAGGAATATGTGAACGAGCAGGAAGACTGCGATGATCTGTGCAAAGGGATACGGAAACTTGGTGTCGGTGATCTTCTTCCTCGGTCGTGCGGCTCAGAACTACTTCATAACTTGCAGGTCACCTGTACCCAGATGAAAATACCTAACAAATCTGCACCAGCAGGCCGCATTCGGGATTAAAAGGGGCTCAACACCCTCAAACCCCAAGCTTAGCAGAGCAATCAAGAGGCGTGTTCAGCAGATTCACGAATCCTCGTGAGATGGTCTGATAGACACGAGACAGAATGGGCGGTGGGATCTTCAAGACACCATCATCCAAGGCCTGCGGCCGTAAGGGTTGTAGCGCTTAGGCATCTTGGCTTATAGGTTGAGGGTTTACGGTTCAGGATTAACCCTTAACCCGTAGCTTAGGATGTGGGGCTTGATAGTTCGTGTGCTGTTTATGCAGATGTTTGTCAGATGAGACTACAGCCACACTTGCCCTCAAAGCGATGTCCGTGTCAGCAGATTCTGATGAGGATCCCACATACATATCATGGAGGGGCCAGGCAAGAGTTGGGGTTGCCAGCTCGAAAATGGTCGTGCAACAGAACCTTGGTGATCAGCGTCTGCAGCAGGTGCAGGCACACCTCCACGCGATTGAACCTGACACAGACTTGGACTTCTCTGGGCCCTGCAGCTTTTGCGCCTACCGATGCCCCGTTGTCCACAAACTACGTGCTGTTGCCCTTTTGCATGACATTATGCGGGCGAAAGTACTGCTCCTGTGCTTGTCCCTGTCATTGTGGCGCGACTAGTAGTCTTATGGTTGCCTCTGCTGCTGCTAGGCACATGTACTGCATAGCATGATCATGAAGCATCGTCTTTGTGCAACTATCGGCAAATTGTCATAAATTAAGGGGTCTGCCGTGGTTGCAGTCAGCAGACGTTCCAGCACCACCACTACTGCTGTTACTTCTGCTGCAGCTACTCCTACTGCTACTCCTACTGCTACTCCTACTGCTTCTCCTCTGCTTCTCCTACTGCTACTCCTACTGCTACTCCTACTGCTTCTCCTACTGCTTCTCCTACTGCTACTCCTACTGCTGCTCCTGCTGATACTGCTGCTCCTACTGCTACTCCTACTGCT